TGCTGCACATGTGGAGGTTGTGCCACGTGGAGGCATGGAGCTGGTCTAGCCAGCCCACAGAACCAGCCCGTCCCTTCTTAGCAGAACACGGCTCCAGCTGCATTGTCGGGACCCACACGGCACAGCATGGAGCCAACCTGGCCTGGTGGTGTGGTAGAGTGCCAAGAGCCATGGGAAGTCTCATGCCATCAGGCTGGGCCGGCTCCATTCCTCCATGTGATGCTCCTGGCACTCTAGCCAGGAGTAGCACATGGAGGCACAGAGCCAGTCCCTTCAGCCCCACAGAGTTGAGCCATCGCTGTCAGTCCGCCCCGCCCCCAGCCCATTCTTACCTGAATTTCTACTCTTGGAGGGAGGGCTGGGGACAGGGTTGCCAGAGCACGAGCCTCTGCTAGGCTGGAGGGTGGGGGCATGGTGGAGCAGGGTGGGGTGGGTTGAGCTGGGGTTGGTCATGTTGCAACCAGAGCCCAAGCTACTTGGTGCTGCAGCTGGCAGCTCCTGCTGCCAGTGCTTTGTCAGGTAATAATCGTCTAAATTTTAGCGGGGCTCCGCGGGCCAGACAGAATGGCCTGGTGGGCCAGATCCGGCCTGTGGGCCGTATTTTGCCTGCCTCGGGCTACATGCTAGGTACCAGGGACAGAAATGCATATGAGCTGTTTATGCCAGCTCACGTGTAGGCTGTAGAACAGTTTGCTAAATTCACAAAGACCTCCAACTCCTGCAAGATACTGCTCGTGTTGTTCAAATCATTTAATAATGTGAACTAATCCTCAGGCATTTCCAGCAGTAACAATGTTGCCTTTTTCCACACTAACTCAGCAAACAAAGAGCATGTGGGGGTGTTTGGATGTTTCTCATTTTCCTGCCTTCCTGTGTGCAGTCATAGACTATGGATGAATGGTTTAACTCCTATTCTGGACTGGAAGAGGGGGGATTGCATGTTTGCTTGATGTGATATGAGCACTTGAGGACTGAATATAACTGTTCACATGAGGAAGGTGCAGGAACACCTTGGTGAATGATCTTCTAATGACCAAGATCCAAGAGCTGTGTTAAGGCAAGTTGACCAGGTGGTGAGACTTAAGCACAGCAGAGGAGACAGGCAGGCAGGCAGAAACAGGCAGAGACACAAGGTGGATTCCAGAGTGATGTGGCAGTCTTAAGTTTAGCTGGGCTGTTCGGACTTGGGATTCAGCCTGCTGTGTTCCAGCTGACAAATAAATGTTGACTTCATTTGCAGGAGTGTCCTGGGTGAAGTCTTCATCAGGAGTTGATTTAAAACAGGCTTTCACAAACCTGAACAGGAGCGTTGGGACCAATAGGCCTGGAGTTAAGGAGGCATGGGGCTTGCCCTTAGGAAGAAACTACATCTGGGGCTGGCTCTGAGGGATACCTGGAAAGATTATATAAAGACTGGGGTCCTAGGCAAGTGTGTCTGCTAAATGTGTGTCAATGAGTAGCATTGAGGGCATCTGTATTCCTCCGACTACAGTGTTAGAAATGCCTAGGCTAGCTCAGACACTGGAAGAAGTCGAGCCATGGCAACATGGTAAATTTAGCCTGAACAGAGCTCCATGCCATTGTATCTAGACTGCTGGTAGTACCCAAGCTAGCTAAGATACCTTGTGATGTTAAACTGCAGTCTACAGTGCATGTATCCTGGGCTTACATGGAGAAGATTTCTGTGCTGAGAGATTTTTTTCAGGTTTAAAAAAAAAGAAAAAAAAAAAGAAACCCAGTTAGGAACGTAGATAATGGCCTCTCTCTAAACTGCTGAGCAGCTGACAGCTCCCCATGATCTCTGGGAACTTCTGGGTGGTGGGCACTTAGGAAAAATCTAGCTATTTATAGGTGCCAGATTTAGATACTTACGTTTAGTCTCCTTTCTCTGAAAATCTCAATGCCTGGTTTCTCTTGAGAAATCGAGGTTTGGTTGATGGTTAGACTTTGTTGACCTTTGGTTCTTGCTTAATGAGGTTCATGATAAGATGATGCTGTCATCCAATTTATTATCCTTTATCTTATTTTTTTCTTTATTTCTGTAATCTATAGGTAGGTGCAGACATTATTATCCTCTTGGAGAATAAGGCATTTAAGGCCAGCTTTTGCCCTTTGTTAGGGCATAGTGAGAAACCTTTCATTTTTCTGCAACCAGGAAGATATTTTTTCCTTGATGATTGAGGGACTCAGCTGAATTTTAATTTCATTTGGGTGTCACCTAAGACTTTAAGGCAAAAGGGGGCAATTAAATCATCCAGTCTGTCTGAGCATCAGGACACAAGGTTCAACTCAGAGCCGTATGTTAAGTTCAGAGACCTTAATTAGACTAGAACAGGGTTTGGGAGCCTATGGCCCGTGGGCTGGATCCATCCCACAGAGGTTTGATTTAGCTCATAGTGGCACTTGATGGGAAGAATTGGTAGCATACAGTATCATTCAGCAGCGGTGGGGTTGGGACTTGACTTCATGTGGTAGGGGAAGCTGACATTTGGTGACAAGGGAATGACAAGGGAAGTAGAGGTGGCCTGCCTTTGGCCCAAGTGGCAGTGCTTTGGCCTGCCACTCCTAAAAGGTTGCTAACCCCTGGGATAGAACAATTCAGTCCTCAGAAGACTAACTCATTATATTGCAGGTAGAGAACGGGAGACACCAAGTTGCCTTCAAATGCCTGAGGCTCCTGCAATGGCGAGTGTGTTAGGTGAGATAGTCAGATGATCCTAGACCAAGAGAAGGTGTGGGAGCCCTCTCCCCTTCCTGCCAGTCTGGTTGGAGCCCTTCCTTTCTGATCCAAATCTGGCCCTCTGCACAAGAGCAGGGCCCCACATGGAAAGATGATTCTCTATATTGGCTCGTAGTCCTGTTCCACCCCATCCTGCTCGTGGTCTCCTGCTGTGGCCAATCTCTATTGCTTCAAAGGAAAACAAAGAGGGGTGGGCAGGGGAGCGAACAGAATACATCTAGGGGCAGTTGTGCTTTTCAAAGGGAAATAATCCTTCCTGGTTCTTTTAAGGAACTAGCTGAAACCTGGAAGTATTGTTTTAGATTTGTAATCCTTGTCGTAATGAGACCTGCAAGTGCTGTGAGCATGTTGAGCAGTGCAGACAATCTGGTTCTACACATGGCCTGTGAAGAAAGGGGGAGAACAGGAGGGGGAAGGGTTATAGATTGAAGGATTGACATCCAAGCACTAAACTACTTATCCTAGGCCAGAGATGATGTTACTAGAAGTTGCCCCTGACACATGCCATGTGATACCTAATGTTATTGCATTCTCTGAGACCTGGTCCTTGGTGGAGGCTGAAGACACCTAGCAAATCTTGTAAAGTAGGGCTTCTAATGCTGACTATGAACTTGAATAGCCACTGAAGATATTGCAGACCTCTGTCCCCTCCTCCACTGGGTTGAGATTAAGGCAAGGGTCCTCTAGCTCTCTCAATGTAGATTGTGATTCAGAAGTCTCTTATTCTAAGCTCAGCTGCACAGCAACCTCTATCAGCTACAGGAGTTATTTAACTTATGCACATATGGACAGAACTTGATGGATAAATAAATACTTTTGGGAAAGAATTAATTCCATAACATTGTCTTTTCCTCTTCACGGCCTTTTTCTCTCCTGGCTGACTTGTTTCTCTCCAGCTCACTGATGCCAAGAGCAGCTGTGGGCAGTCTTGTACAATAGCAGCTTAATGCACTTAGCCCCACAACCAAGCCAGTTAAGGTGGAGTGGAAGTGAACACCCAAGGAACAATCTTCATCTAAAGAAAGGGTTATGATCATTGCTGGAATGGATTGTGCATTTGCAGGTTGAGCAGGGTTTTTTAAGAAGTAGGAATGTGGCTAGTGTGTCGTGATGAATCCCATCCAACTTTGATAACATGGGCCAAACTTGAACTATGTTACGCAGATTTAACTCCACAGGAGTTGAATTTACTTAAAGTAGGTCTGAATAGCATGGGATTTCAGCTAACATTTTAGAATCAGTATTGAATAAGGGGGTGGTCTCTAGAAATTATGCTGCAGAAGATCCATGCTGAGCTTTCCTGACATAATCCTCTTGGCTTTAGAGAACCAAAATGGCAATTCTGTTGACTTTGCTGTTCTAAAGCAACTTCAGGTCCGATGGCACTATTTTGTCAAAAGGTCTGCATAACAGGGAACCTTTCGTGCCCCAGAACTTTTTTTGTAGAGGGGCAGTCCGCTTGAAAACTAGTTAAACTCCTTTCTGGCATCCACCAGCAATTGAGTGGCTCCTCTTGGCTGTTCCTATGATCTGTCAGTCCTTTGTTTTTACTGGTTTATGTATTTTTCCCTTTCTGTTGCTGTGGAAAGGCCTCCACAAAAAAAAAAAAGCGGGGGGGGGGGGGGGAACTAGTGAAGGAACTATAATGGAGGAAACTCTGGAATCACGCTGCTGTAACATAAAAAGTAAATAAACTGGCAAAACAGATGGTGTTTCTTCAAACCCTCTTTGATCAGAGCAATAGCGGTTGTTTAAAAAAATCAGTCTTGTGTGTGAAGAAGTGTCTAGCAATACTTCAGTGTGGTGTCTCTAAGATCTCCAGTCATGTTTTCTAGCCGTTGGGAAAGAGCTGTTCTAAGTTTTGTAGGAGGAAGTTGTCTATATTCGGTTTAGGGGAAGAATCTAGAAAACCAGCAAATGCTTTTTTGTTATCCTTTGTTTTTAGGCTGAAGGGATCTGATTGGGTTTGATTACAGGTAGCTGAAATCACTTTGTCCACTGGCCACTATTAAAACCACAACACTATATGATATTACTTTGGTACTTATAAGCTATTTTGCTAAAAATCTTGGAGAAGCTACCAGTTCAAAGGATTGTGGTAAATTCTGGCTTGATCTCTTCCATCAAGTTGGTAAACTCTACCTACGTTCCCTGAAGGTTGACTGAGACAAGAACATAATCTTGTGAAAAATGTTAGAATTGTTTGTTTTGCAAAAGTCCAGCATGGACTCATTTTTGCAATGCTTTTTGCTTAGTGAAAGCCCAGGGTAGTTGAGAGGTGGGGAGGAGAATTGAATGGGCTATGAGTTGTCATTCCAGCCCTGCCACATGGGTTAATTACTGCAGCGCTCTCCTTCATTAAATCATGCTGTCAAATAGGGATAATGATGGGTCTCAAGGTGACTACCCTTTGATAGAAGGTACCAGAGGAATATAAAGTGTTATTAAATTGGTTCTGCAGTTAAGCTTCCTTAAAAATATATCCTGAAAGCAGAGTGACTTTTCTTTTACAAGATACGTGAAAAACCAGCAGGGCTTTGAATTCTCTTCCTTCAGTGCCTGGCTACAAGTGCCAGCAACTTATCCAGGCCAGGCCTGATCGGCATGACTAGAATTGGTAGTAGTTATGCCAATGTTGCAAAGGCATAATCTTGGTTTATAGAAAAAAAGCCCAGGCAGTGACTGTATTAGATTAATTCTTTTTTAATGGAAAAGACCAATTGTTAATAGTTTTTTAAGCTTGTAAAGATATCAGAACACTGTAACAGAGCTAATGGTTGAAAGGGCAAGGCTTACTGCATAGCAGATTAGGCTGGGGTGGAAAAGACCATTCTTGGGTTTTGTCACAGATGACATGGCCATGACAAATTATGAAGCCTGAGTGTGGTCGTGGTAGTCCAGCCAAGTCTGGGGTGAGTGGCATCGAGATTGTTACTAATGTAGGGCAAGCATTAAGCAGATCATTATTTGAGTACCTGGAGTAAGCAATGCTGGGCAGGATGGACAATGAAGGGATTCCCTGCATGAAAGAGTATCTCTTTGTCATGGAGAGGCATGGATCCCATTGAAACGGGAAAAATCAGAGAGCCAGTGTGGTGCCTCCTAAAAACTGAAGCTGTCTGCAGTGCCAAAGAGCAGAAGAGTGATATGTGTAAGGAAGAGCAGATGAGCATGAACGTATGTGTCCTACCTCTTTTCTGTCCCTTGCAGTTACTAGTTCAGTGCTCTGGTGTTACCCCGCCCCATCCCTGCTCCCAGGCACTCAGCATTTGCTATCCTGTCTAGGTTCAGTTGTCCCTGTATTAACCAGCTCTTGTAGGCGTATAGCAGAAGCAAGATTCCATTGATGCCTCTTTTCTTGCTCTTCACTGCCAGCAAGTGATGGGGCATAGCAGAGATGCTGCTAGAACAAAGTAACCTACCAAATGTGGCCCTGTTGTAATGTCTTCCATATACAGATGGAGCATCCAGGAGGTTTCTCTGTAGGTGCTTCCTGGTGAGTGGGAATTGGCTCTTGTAAATGTGTCCCCAGCACTTTCTTCCCATTTTATACTGATATTGAATACTTTAAGTGGCTCATGTAAGATGTTGGTGTTTAGAGTTTTTAGAAGTGAATCTGTGAATATCTTTCCAAACTAGTCCATCACAGATGCCGAACTTGACAGTGATTCTTTAACTGAGCTTACAGCGCTGTCTTGTCATCTATATACGCTAGGGTAATACTGTTGTAGGACAGCAGCACCTGGCTGTAAAGTTGTTTATACTTGCAAACCTGTCTCTTTACCCCAGCTGTCTTTGACCCTTCCATAAGTCCTCAAGGCAAATGGTACAATAATCTCTGTTAAGATGGCAAACTGGCATCTTGCTGCTAATGAGGCCTCACTGGTGAGCAGGCACCTTTTATGGTCTGTCATGGTGAACCTAAACATCTTTTGGTAAGTAGACTCTTGTGAAAATAGGAGTTCTTACATGATCATATGCCAAGCTTCACCAAAGCAAAGCGCCAGGCAGCACAGGGATTGAGTTAAGGCAGAAAGAGCTAGCAGCCAACCTGTCTTGTTCTGGCCCTGTGTCATAGTGTGTGGATGAGTTGCTGTCGGCTAAATGAGCCTTGATCTGTTCTTTATGGGATGCTTTTGTACTCCCTTGGTTTATAACAGTCTCCAGGAGAACAGTGGAGGCAACCACCGGCCTCCTTTGACGTCTGCAGCACACCGGATTACTGGAGGCCCCTGCCCTACAAGGTCCTAACCAGCTTGGTTCTGGATTACTTCAAGGAAACGTACGTGCATCTTCCCAGGACTGGGTCATTATTTCTAAAGCAGTGAGGTATCTCGGGGTTCAAAATCATAGCTAAGTGTTTCTAGCACCATTTTCGCCTTACACTTGTGGACATACCACTCCAGTTTAAATGCAGCATACCTTCCTGTGCCACAAGGCTGTGATACCTGTCCCCTACACACATCCAGAAAAACAGCCCCTTGTAGGTGTGTAACAGGTCCCCACTTGGCCACACACAGTAGCTCACATCTGCAGATGCACTATGGATAGATGAGGCAAGGTGCTAGATTGCATTACCTAATTGGGTATATTATGTTATAGAGGTTCACAGGTGTGGGCAAATCAGGTTTTTGGCACCTTTTCAGAAGGGCTCCGTCCTGCTTGTGGCATGTGTTCTGAGGGTTAAGCTCTCATTTAGCAAGTGCTGCTGCTTTGTTTTTGTAAGGGGAGGAATGGAGGATGTTCAACTTGGCTCCTCATTCAAAGGTTAGAGTGGCCTCTGGGGCATCTTCTTAGGCTGGAAGATGGATGCTCTCCTTTGATGGATGAAGTAGCTTAATCAGTTTGCCGCAGAGAAAGCAACCAAACAAGTTTTGTTTTGTTTTGTTTTGTTTTTTTGTTCTGAAAATAAACTCTATGAAAGGAACATGATCCCCCTAATTGTGCTTAGAGGAAGGGCCTGGCATCTCCTTCAGGAAGAGAAATTGTGCTGAGTGAACTGAAGTGAGGATAAAAGTCCTAGTGCAGCCCTGTCTCTAAGAGAGAGACATCTTCACTTTTGGCATTTATCATGCTACCTAGTCTTCCTTGGCTTTGAATAAGCTCTTAATTGCACAGCTTGACTGGTGTTATCATTGTGTCCTTGGGATTCCTTATCAAAATTTGTGCAACTCCAGAAAACGCATGTGAACTGGCATTTGGATCAGGCCAGAAATCAAGCCAGTGTTTGAGTGCAGAAGCAAGCTCCCAAAGCAATGGTCGTATGGCCCTCTACACGTGAGAGGAGGTCACAACGCGATGCCTGCCCATTGCAATATACTACTGGGTCAATGAGTAGGGCAGATCTAGATGGATGGATGCAAATGTCTATCATCTGTGTGTCAGCCACAGAGGATGAGGGGGAAGAACCTGACCCTAAAGAAGCTACATTTGCCTGGGGGGGGAAGGGTGGATGTTGAATGTGACAAAGCAGGCAAACAAAAAATCCAACTCAGTTAGTGCAGGTGGCCAGATTTTACCCAGATCTCTGTGGAGGTCATTGTCTTAGGGAGCTCCACCAAGCATAGAGGAGTCTGGGAGGTCCCATGGAGCATAATGTAAGGAGGAAATAGGGTCCCTGCCATGGGTGTGACACCCCGTCCATCTCCCCCCACCCCAACACAGATGAGGTTTCTGCTCTTCTGCCTTACATGCTTCAATTCTGCATAGTGTAGTCTCTAACAACACATTCCTGATAAATAGATCTGTGCACCAGCCCTCCCTTCCTTTGAAAGCCTCTGAGACTTGCTCTGTGTCCTTCTTGCCCTCAGATGAAGAGCTGGGAGCTCTCTCTCATACTTTACATAATTCTTGATGTTGTGCATCGACAATGATGGACTTTGAGACTTGCTGTACAGAGTGATGGCTGCAAGCTTTTCCTGTCAAGTGGGGAAGCCCAAGAAATAGGATTTTGAGTGAATGACACCGTTGACTCATGCTGTAGCACCTAGCCCACTTTGAGTCTTTCCCCTTCCTTTCTTGACTCCCTTGCTGAGTAGTCTCCAGTACATGGGAAGGATGGTTATGGTGCCAAAAGCACAGAGCTGGGACTCTGGAGATGCAGTTTTTATTGCTATTGAGCCACAGACTTCCTGGATGACCTTGGGATAGTCACTTAGTCTCCTGTGACTAGACAAGGAGAATAAGACCCGACCCCTGACCCTCCGGCCTTCACAGGAGCCAAGGATAAATAGATTCATAACTGAGGCATGCTGATCATATGGCAAGGACAGGCATGTAATTCCCAAAGGCAGGTAAGTACGTGTGACCAAGGCCAACTGAACAATTGTACAAACTTTTGATGTATGACTGGACCTTGCATTTGGTTGATGTAAGTTCCAGAGCAGAGCTCTGACCACAGTCCTGGAGGATGGTGGTGCACTTACAGTATACTGCATTACTGCTGCTATGGAATATTTGTGTGGTAGAGGCCTGGGTATCTTGAGTGTGCCTATATAGCGTTTAGCATGCTAGGGCTACGCTGGGTTTTTAGGCACTCCCCTAATACAAACAAGTAGATATGCCTGTTTATTTGAGTATCCCTTGAGGCCTTGGCAAAACCCAGGACTTACACTGGGGCTGCAGTGACAGGCTTTTACTTTGGAGAAGAAGCAGTTAAACTGGCAAGGATGTCAGGAAATTGAATAAATGAGAGCAGCACTCTGGTCTCATGATGCCTAGGTTGGGCCACTTACTGCAGAATACAGGTTGAGCAAGTGAACACTGTCTTAGTGTCTGTGGACTTGTCTCCCCCTCCCGTCGCTGTCTGGAGCGTGTGACTTCGAAAAGGATCGAGCTCGGGGACTGGAGTGAGTGAAACGCGAGTGTCTGCCAGCGAAGCTGCTGCAAGTAGAACTCCGATAAGTGCCCGTCACTTCTCTTTGTTCTGCTCTGTACGTACTGTTTCTTTATGTACACAACTTGGAAATGGCACGGGAATGGGGAATGTGCTTTTCATGCTCACTGTTTGTGGAAAGTTTCGTTTCTTTTCTCTTTATTTTCTTTTCTTGCAGCTTATGCAAAACTTTCTTCACTGCTTGCTCAGGGGAGGATAAAGAATAGCTGCCTTCAGGTTGTAAATCTCTAAAAAGTGGTCTTTGCTACCTAAACAGACCTGCTGGGAGATCTGTTTATTATACAGTTGCCTCCCAAATCAGAAGCAAAGTGTCACCTGTATTGTGAAACAGAATGATCTGGGGGCTTCAGCATGGTACTGGCCCCCAGCCCAACATGGCTCATAGCGTCAGAGACTAAATAACCATAGTATAACAGAAACCTGATCAGTGTTTTGTGACATTCCCATTTTGCTGGGCAGTAGCAATGGAAGTGGTTGTTTTGTTTTATTCCTTTTAATTGCTGGAATGTGAAAGGGTAGAGCACTCTATTGTGTGTTGCTTTCTTAAGTGCTGTGGGAGTTCAGCATTCGTATATCACTTCTACAGGTATTTGTTTAAATGGGGTTTTATTGTACTGTCACATGCTGCTGCAAGAGCATGTTTCTCCCTTATGAATGATATGAGGGGGGCTTCATTTTGATCAGCTGGCACCTTAGACCAAACAAAATAGCGCTTCCTCTTTGGCATGGGTAGCTTGCCCAGTTCAAGCTTTCCAGAAGAACTGGAGTGTATCTTGGCCAAGAATTTTGTCTGCCACGGGAGAGCTTAGGCCAAGGAGATGACTAAACAATGGGCCCAATTGTCAGGCAGTGATCTATGCTAGCTATCTCCAGAGATAAACCACAGTAGATTATAACAAAGTATATCAAGGGCGTTTTTAAAGTTCTTAAAGTGCTTTGCTCATGTGAACGAACCCTTGTAACTCACTTGGGAAGAAGCAAGCCTCTGAGTCCCTTACTGTGCGGCTGGGGTTTGGCTTTGCATCCCCTTGAAAAAGACTACCTTGAAAGAAGTCCAGGGATGGTCAAGGAGTGTGTTGGCATCTTCAAACACACTGGCCTACCCATGTTTTTCTGTCATGGTCCTCCCTTCTAGTTTTCTAATTGATTTATTGAAAATAAAGACAACAGCTGCTGTAGAGAGAGCTAGGCCTGGAAGTGACCCTTGAAGCCTTCCCCAATAGAAGGGATATTCTCTCTTTATCCATTCTAGCCCCTTCCATATTTTGCTTCTTTACTCAGTAAGCTACCGTGTAGATGAACCTTTGTGGGCACATGCCTGTATGTGGAGGTGAGCCTATCTGGGTGTATGAGTGCCAGCTGGAGGCCTGCCTAGGTAGGTTATGTAGGAATTTCTCTCCTTTCCTCACTGAGTTTATGTGCAGAGTGGGCTGCAATGCAGTCTGGAGAGCAAAGTGCCCATTCAGCCAAAAATACCTGCAGCCTAAGTGATGGGTGTGCACTAGACCTATTTAAAGCTTTTGCCATAATATGAACCAGTGTGTTTTTTGTAGCTGTAGACACTGGTCTGTTATTAAAATCCATGACCCTGGCTTCAGGCTACACAGCTCCCTGCAGGCAGGCAGCCTGTCGCTCAGGCTTGCTTTTGCTGGCTGTAAGACTTGTAAAACAGCTGTTTCAGAGACGAAGCCCCATTAATTTACTACTGCTGCTGCCTCAAATGCCCTGCTCCAGGCACAGGCTGGGGAGCAGGAACACACAGTTAGAGCTCAGATCTTTTCCTGGTCATGACTTACATCTAAGGCCAAGTTTCCTACTCTGGTGTCAGAAGGAGGGGGCAGCATTTTTAAACACTGATTTTCCTGTGTATTGATTCTCTTTGCATGAGCTGCCTCTTCCGTTGCTAATTAAAAGGCAATTTCCACTTATGGTAAACACCTTTTATAAGGCACTCATGAAAGATCTTTCTACATTTGCCAACTGCAGTAGAGAAAATTTGGGTTTGGTATGTGGGGGTTGGTATTGGGGATGATGACTCTTGGGGCTTTGTTTTTTGGGCATAGAAGTGGGGCTTTTGTGAGCATTACCAGGTTCAATCTTGCCAGCTTAACCTTAAACCAGAACAGCACAAAAAAACTGCGCCCCCTCCCCCCCTTTTCATCTTTGAACCTGTGAATATTTCACTTGCATTCCTAGGGAGACTACATTTTTTTTGTGTGCGCTTATAAATCTGAATCACACTCGCAGCTCTCCAAGTGGAATTCCTACCCTGCAAACAGAGATGTGCCAGAGACTCCTTGGAGTGAACTGGGGAATTTGCTGTTTCACTTGCTTATAAATAAGATGATGAGACTGTGGAGATGAGTAACAAGACAAGCCCTTAAAGAAATGATTTTTGATTTACACAGTGGTATCTCTGGAGGGTCTGTTCTGTCCAGACAAGAGCCATTATATCCATCAACAGGAGGAAGGTATGGCATTTAGTGGATGTTTCCTTATGTTCCTCAGTAATGTAAGGAGAGAGGGGGAGAGAGCACTAAATCCCCATACTCTGGAAATATTGCTCCATTCACTCACTGAGCTCACTCCTGGCTTTGTCAATGGTTTCTGGTGCATGTATTAAGCACTCCCCATCCTTTTGCAACTACTTATGTGAGTAGAATTCAAGATAACCTGCAAAGCCATCCTCTGTTCTAAAGTTATTTAGCTTGTCCTTGGAGCAAAGAAGAGACTCCAAGTTTCCTGACCTCCTCTCCCCCCCCTCCAAGGGATATACATAGCCCAGATTGTCCTGCTGTGCCCAGACAGCCCATCTGATTATATAATCTACAAGGCTGTTTAGTTGTTCAGATGAATAGGTAGAGATTTGAGGTATGTTGGCCGAGTGTTTCTTTTGGCAGTGTGAGAACTTAAGTCCTCAGTTCTAGCTCTGAAGGTTTGGATCTCTTTAGAAGTAGTACGTGCACGGAGAGGATGCAACATGTGATTGTTCAAATGCTTTGAACAAGCAAAACCCACAAAATGTTCACTCTGCCGGGCAACCATGAGGCTTGGTCCGGCTGTTTGCAATAACTTACTCTTTCACTAATTCACTCTGGTTCTGATCATTCCTGCTTGGCCCCTGCACTCCTTAAGCAAAATGCTTGGGCATAAAAAGTTTTCCCTGGGAACATGGAAAGAGAATAATTCCTCTTCTAGCCACTGCTTGTCTGTAGGGTGGAATCGCTGTAAAGAAAGTTACTGCTTCCTTTCATAGTGGAGTAAAGTGCTGTGCACTGAGTGTCCTCACAGAGGTTATGCCCATGAGCGTGCTGTCAGAGTGCCCCTTCTCCCTGCACTCTGACTTCTCTGTAGAGACAAGCCCTTAATTATTTCATCAACTTCAGAGTTTGCTCAGCAGTGCACCCCCTTTCCCCACATACATGCTGTACCTTCCGCCTCGGAGGGAGACCTAGCTTCCTCGTACGCTTCTACCTCACTGATTTCTTCCATTTCCTTTTAAATCTTCCCAGAACCTTTAATTCCTTTCTGCCTGTTTAATTCTCTGAAGATTTTAAAGCTTGCCTTGTGGGACAGGCCTCTCCTAAGAACACTTGATACCCTGATGTACTTCGTTCATGTATTGCTCAAGCTCCATCTTAAAAGTAATGAGGCATTTTGCCTTCTACTGCTCCTACCTGCAGGTCGATCCCAAATCTCACTGCTCTGAGAGTTAGGAATTGTTTTCAAATTTCCAGTCTACATCTATCCACAGGTAGTTTATTCCCATTTGCTGTGTGCCAACATTGTCTTTTAGCTTTAAATAGCTTGATTCCCAACCAGGTATTCTTCCTCTCTTTTCCTCTCCTCCCAGTATTTATAGCAAGCAAATCTATCATTAGCTGAACTAGCCAAGCTCTTTGAATCCTTCCTCATCAAATAAGCCCATAAAATAAGCCCCTGTTCAGCCTTGCAGCTCTTTGGTGCACCTATTTCAGTTCGAACTTTTCTCTTTTTTTGAATATAGATGGCCAGAGCTGTACAGTGCTCCACACACAGCAGTGCCAGTACCTTGTACAATGACATCAGTACTTTCCTGCGTCTGTGTAATTGCCTTGTTTGACGCATCCCAGGGTTTACATTTGCATTTTTTATGGCTGCACCACATTGGCAACTCATAGTCCATAATCAACTAATACTCCTAGGTCCTTCTCATTAGTCATTTTCCAACAGTAAGCTATCAGAGTTGCTTATTAAGCGAGTCATGGGTTCTGATGGGATGAAAAGGTTATGTTACACAGTTAACTTTTCAGGGAGTGTTTATTCTACCTTTGAACTGTTGCCTTAACATAATCGATTTGCAGTAATCTGATTAAATGGATTTAGACCTGCAGACATGTTTGCGTTTCTCTCATTATGTCTAATGCAGTTAGAGGGGAGATGTAAAGACTTAAAGTTAATAGAAACCAGACTAGATTGCCAGGGGCTCCTCTAGACCTTTCCACCAGCTGTAGCTCTGCATCATGCTAATGTGATTTCTTTTTTAGATAGAGCTGATCATAATTAAATACAGAGCTGCACATTAGGAGAAATATCCTGAGTCTGATCCTTGGGTAGATGCAATTAAGATGGGGTTTGGGAGCAATTAGACTCTGAAGCAACAAAAGACAAGTTTTTACCTTTTGGATGTCTAGACTTGCGAGAAGACTTTTCACTCGTTGGCTTAAAATGGCATCTGTAAGTCGGATTGAAAGCTTTAGGGTAAGGATTGTTTGTGCTTTGCATCCACTTGTGTATTACAGAAATAGTAACCCAAAGAGAACACGCTGATTAACCCAAAGAGAACTTCTGAATGCTACATTTGCTCTGAGCTCCATGTAGCGAGTGTGAAGGAGGTTGATATATCCCAGACAGCAATCCATATCTATAGGACAGGGCTCTCCAGGATGCAGCCTTTCTGGTAGGAGGGATGCTGGGAGCCAGACTTCACTGTGCGCTGTAGAAACTGTCTCCTGTTTGTGAAAGTTGTTTTTTATGACCCTTGGCCTAATGTCCACTATTCCTTCTTTCTCTAAGGCTCCCATTGTCCTGCGTGCCATTTTTGATACCTCTGCAGTGAAGATGTCTCTCAGTCACCACGCAGATCACATGAACCATACAATGAGCGGCACCATGCCATCCTCCGTGCATCCGCCAGAACATTATCACCCTACGACGTCACCAGGACACAATCATGAAGGAGGAATGATGATGATGATGGTGAGTGAAGTCCAGAAAGTTAGACATTGTCCAGAGCTTAGTTTAAACTCTATTCCCAAAACCCTTTACCTCACTGAACATTTGGGGCGTTTACAATGAAGTAAAAAAAGACTTTTATAAGACTTCTTTATTAATGTTTAATTCAGGGAGAATATAACTTGGGAACCCTAAAACCATCCATTCAGTAGCTTAGGTCACTTCCCAAGTGGTGTTTGTCTACAAGAATCCTTTCAAATTCTGCTGGCCACAAATGTACCATTTTAATTTCACTGGCGGCTGTTGACATAACTGAAAATCCTTTAATTTGGAGAAGTGACAGGTAGCTTTCCTAAAGGATAACTTGCAGCATAAAATGTGTTCAATGTGTGAGTCCATTGCAAAATGGGCTTTCCTTGCAGAAAGTCAGGGAGCATGCCTGCTGGCATCAGCACTGTTTGGAAGCAGCCGACTTGTGTGAAAGCCAGAATGATTCTGGAAGGGCTGTGCAAGCTGCTTGCTGCAGTATCTCCTCCGCACTCATTTGAATGAAAGAACCTGTCCTCTCTTTCTTTGGATTTTCCTGTAGGAAAGGGAAGAGCTAGGATTCATTTGCACTGTTACTGAAAATGTTAACCTCCTCTGTAAGGAACACATACTGAAATGAATGTGGAAAGGATCTAGGTTATGCTGAATTCAAAGTACCCTGCCACACTCAGCCACATTCCTGAAAGGACCAGCAAAATTGCTAAACTGTCTCTAGTCTCTTAAAAGACTTAAGTGTATAATGTGTGTGAACTAGTTAGGGAGACTTATCTGGATTGCATGTAAACAGGACAACAATAGCTGGGCTCCTTGGAAACAGAGGTTCTAAAGCCTTGGTAGATCAGTGCTTGCTGTGTTGACCCAGTAGGAAACCTTTTAGTTAGGATAAGTTGCTATTGAAAGCCCTGGACTGTGCGCTAGTTGGGAAGGAAGGTAACCTAATACATTCAGATCTCTGAAATATACAGGTCAACTGCAGTCTGCTTTGCAGGTCACCAGCAGCCATTTTTATCTCAAGTTTTACAAACTTTTCTTTCCCCCTCCTTCAGTTAAATCAACAGAAAATAGTTCTAAGTGGATATAGGCTTGGATTGGACAGTGGCTGCACAACAAAGACTAAGTGTCCTATGAAAGGGCCCATCTTTGTCTTAACTTTGAACAGAAAATATGCCCAGTATTTTTAAAATCCTGTTACAGCTGTGACTTTTCTCTTGAGATGCTTAAAGGAATTTGAATATAGTTGTGAAATGGCTTCAGTTTCTATTCTCTCCAAACGGGCACTATTCGGCACCTGCCATGTCAGATTCTTCTGCTTCCTGCTGCCTTGTCACCCATGCCGCTTCCTTGTGACTGCCACTTCACGTTATCATGGGATGGCCTCATACTCATTCTGCTTTTCTCATCCCTCAGGACACCGGGTAGATTTGCAGTGATCTGAACTGAATTTGTGCCAAAAGGAAATTATCCTTGTTACACTAGGCTTGCTATAGTGTGTTTCAACTCTGTACTTGGTGACTGAGCAGAAGAAGCTTGCTCTGAGCTTGGCTTTAGCCATACCAACATCATGTAACAGTCCTTTGCTTAAAATTTTGTAAGTCTTGTTGTAGGGTGTGTATTTAAGCCTTGCCTCTTCCCCTTTTTTGCTCAGAGATTCTTGTTTATGTTTTAAATGACCTTTCTGTCTTGGACAGGATATGACTTTCCACTTCAGCTATAAGAATGTGCCTCTCCTGTTCTCTGGACTTGTGATCAATACACCTGGAGGTCAGTAGTGCTCTCTCAGATAAGAGGCTGGCTTGTTGCTCTTGCCCTAACCAAAGCAAAAGCTTACTTCCGAGGAATGTTGATAGAGTAACCCCATGTCTCATGGTTGAAGGTTCTTCCAGTAGCCAGGCATGGACTACTTAGTGTAGTTAGAGCAAAGAGGGTGAAAGTGGAGAGACTTTCATGTTCCAGTATTGCATCAGCCTTGTTAAGAAATGGGGTGTTAACACTTGGGGGTGTTGCATGTCAGGTTCCATGTTGTTTTAGGATGAATCAAACACTTACACATACAGGCAGCCTCTCATCTATGCAATGGGAGCTGTCCATTGGATTGGAAGGTGTCTTTCTCAAGCAAACAAAGTGAATAACTTATGCACAAATTTGGTAACTTGACTTCATTCTTTCTCCACTGTCAGAAATGGCTGGTGCTTTTGTGGCTGTCTTCTTCCTAGCCATGTTTTATGAAGGTCTCAAGATAGCTCGAGAGTGCCTGCTTCGTAAGTCGCAGGTCAGCATTCGCTACAATTCCATGCCTGTCCCAGGACCAAACGGCACCATCTTGATGGAGACCCACAAAACAGTTGGGTAAGAATCTGCCGCCTTTCTAGGACAAATAGCATGCTTCTCAGCAGACAAGTATGGAAAAGACTAAGACATAGCAAATTCCATGTGGACACAATTTCCTCTTGAAGGCTTACATAGTGCACATCTTTTTGAAGGACACTAAAGAACCTGTACCTTCAGGGATTACCCAGTTATCCTGTTAGGGTTGGGGAAGAGGGAATGGAAGAGCCACTCTGCACCAATCACGATGGCTTTATAAGAGTGTGTGTGTTAGAGAGAAGGCCGGGGGAAATGGGCAGGGGAATAACAGCAAGGAATTGAAAGAGGGAAGTGTGCATGTAATTACCAGGCTCAGATATTGTCTGTGCCACCAGACTTGCTCTTTCTGAAGCAAGAGAAGGCCAGGGGATCCTTTCAGGTAGTCTAGGCCTCTTTTCAAACAATAAAAGCTGCCCTGTTCAGCTGGAAGCATAGGCCAGGGAGAAAAATAGAACCAGGAGGATTTAACTCAAAATGTAGCAGTTCTGATCTCCCAGCAAACCCTGTTATTCTTAACTGATGAGAAAGGGAGTTTTCCCTTTCGCGCAGAAAAACAGAGTAAAATGTGGATTTCCCTCCTTACTGGAATAAAACACAGACTTCTCATTTTAGCAGAGAAACCCATGGATTTTGCAGTTTTGCATCAAGCCCGCTGCAGGGAGTGGGAGGAGGGTGGTCAGGCAGGGAGCACCATGTGCATGTGTATGCACATGGCCACCAGGCAGCCTGGAGAGCAGCTCCTGCAGGTAAGTGTCAGGGAGGATTGAGACCCCCATAGGGAGGGAGTTGGGCAGGGCCAGGGCTGGGACTGCTGCCCAGCCAGGCAGTGTGTGGGGCTTGATGTGTGGGGCCACAATGTGTGGCTGCAGGGCCCTGGGATGAGGCTGTGGGTGGCTTGTTTTGGGGGTGGGGAGCGGGGCTGGCTCCCCACCACTGCGCTCACTCCCGGAGGGACAGGGTGGGCACATGCACCCCAGATCTGTGTGCTGGGTGGGGGTGGGCTGCCTGCTGCAGGCTTGGGCTCCCTGCCCTGCTGCCCTTCCCCAGGGCCTCTGTAGCCCATTGTGTGCAATCCATTCCATTGTGGCAGGGCACGGCAGGGCTGCATGGGGATCTCCTTGCTGCTGTGAGCTCTGTGCTGCCCTGGCGAGGCATCCCTGTGTGTGCAGCAGGAGTAGAGGCAGCAGTGCAGGGTTGTGCCCCTCGCTGCCGCCATGTGCGCAGGGGACGCATTGCCAGGACGGTGTGAAGCTCGCAGCTGCAACCAGCTTTCCTGTGCGGCCCTTCTCTGCCCTGCAGCACTAGGTTGCACCCACCAGGCTGTGAAGGCCTGGGGGGAGGGCAGCAGGGCAGGAACCTGAGCCCGCAGTGCACACCTGCACCTGCTTCGCACACAGGTATGGGGAACATGGGTCCCCCTGGGAGTGCACAGTGACGGGGAGCTGCCCCGCCCTGCCCAAGCCTGCAGCAATCAGCAGGGGGGAAGCTGGGCTTCGCTGCCTCCCGCCAGGGCAGGGGCTGTCCCTGACCCCGTAGCCCTGGCAGCTGGGGTTTCCCTCCAGCAGGACTGGGGGAGCAGGGGCTGTAAGTGGGGAGCAAGGGGCACCAGCTGGGTGGGGTGGGGGCGGGGGGGAGCCTTTCATTTTAATCACAGATTGTGGGGGTTTTATCAGAGAATTTGCAATTTTAATTATTTTTATTTTTTGGTCAGGGAAAACCAGGATCCCTGCTGATGAATATTTTTGTGTAGCTGATTGCCTGGGAGAAGCTGCAGTTGTCCATTTGTGGGAGAGGGTGGAATCTGTATCTTTTTTTTTTTTTTCCCTACTTCTCTTCATGCCCACTCTATGGGCTACCTTCTCTCTGGCAGGGACCCTGCATTCCCCATCCTATAGCTCTTGGTTGCTGACTGCTCTCCCTTTCTGTGATTCTTCAGACAACAGATGCTGAGCTTCCCTCATCTGCTGCAAACCGTGCTACACATCATCCAGGTGGTGGTCAGTTATTTCCTCATGTTGATATTCATGACCTACAATGGATACCTCTGCATAGCTGTGGCAGCAGGAGCAGGGACTGGCTACTTTTTCTTCAGCTGGAAAAAAGCTGTGGTTGTGGATATCACTGAGCACTGCCATTAATGCTGGACATGTCAAGAACCTCTCTGCCCCTCTGCTCACTTTAACTTTAGCCATTCAGAGAATGAGGATCATTCCCAAACTGAAAACCAATGTACATCAATACAATCAACGTGGGTTTTACCACCAACTCGGACAGTGCCTGGCACATGGGGATTCCTTGCATTGGGGAACAGTGCCACCCCTTTCTGACATGGTAGCCTGGTACCTGGGCCAGGCAGACCAGCTTTCAGGAGTTGTGTGGGCACCGTCTTTGGTGATGATTTATTTTTAGATTCTATCCCAATTGAAAGAAAGTTGGCAGACAGGACTGTGCAAAGTTATTCCATTGCCCTTTTAGAAATGTATTTTTAACCAGGAAATGGTCAGCAACAAGATTTTTATGAATGGAAGATAAAGGTTGAATTAGATGATGGAGGAGATATGTGAAAATAACATTAATTTTTAATTATTTTTTTTTATAATTGGTACTTAGTGCAAAGGAGGGAGCTGTCGGTGGCCTGAACCAATAACACTTTCTGGGACTCAATCCTGGAAACAGTGCTCTGCATCATGTTGTTGGGAAAGGGCAGGCCCTACTGACTCATGGGAAACATGTGCCTCTGAAGCAGGCATGGTGTAGCCATATACCCCTGCACCAGACTGAGACCATTTTCCAAGCCTGTTGGAGGGTGTTCAGCATTGATATTTTGCTGGCTTATCCAGAAGGCTCCAGCGAACAACATTTCAGTTTGGCCACTTCCCACTTACTGATCACGGAAGAGTACTCAGTTGGCATAGGTCAGTAGTCTCTCACTTGGGTAGCAGGGAGAGATTTTAAGTAACCATTGACCTGATGCCAACTTTGTCCTGATTGGCAGTAGACTCCCATTTATCATTTAGTGAAAATCGTTGGTGGAACACCACAGCCAAATGATAACTTGTGACATTATTTCATAAAAACCAAGTGATGCCAACAGGGTTTTTAGGGGTTCCAGAGAAAAGGAGATTCCTTGGCTGGGCTGGGAGATGAGGAACCAGACTTCTATGAGAGAATGGGGAGTAGGGGTCCAATAGCTCCTCGTGAGCAGGGAGGGGACTATAAGGCCAATAAAAAGTCATCCAGCCCCTAAGGACTTCTCTTTTCTGTAATCCCCAAATCTTAAGACTTTCTCAACATGGCTGTGTCAAGGCAGCAAGTGTCAATGCCAGTGACAGAGCTGCTTAACAATGTAGCAGAGAACTTTCTAGCTTGTGCTAGGAGCCAAACAGATCTTACAGGGAAAGCAGGTTCAGTTCCTGGACAGGAGAGCCCTACCACGGAACGCCTGAGGTGCTGTAGGGAGTAGCATTAATTCTGCTTCTCGTACTAGAGGAGACCGTGCTGTTCAATGTGCCATCTTTTCAATGAGAGGTAAAACTGAGGTCCTGATTTGATGTTAAAGATTGTGCAGCCTTTTTTAGAAGAGAGCGGGCATTAACCAGAGCGTGCCAGCCTATTCTGACTGGAGGAAAAGCTGTTCAGCCTCCCCAAAACCCTCTGTGGTTTAATTGGTAACCTCATCCCTTACTTCTTCCTGTGCCTTGTAAGGTGTGAAATGGCAGCTGTGAGGCACTTACTAGGATCTCTGTATACCATTGATCGAAAATTTTGGCCTGAGAACAGCTTTTGGCTCTCAGAGCTCTTCCTTGTAGGTACCTGGCTTTGGGAAGGTGGACTTGGGTCTTTTCCAGAGGTTGACATGGATGGGAAAGCTGGAGAATTGGTTCTGTACAGAGTTGGTTGGCTAATTTAGAAGATGCTTTGTGATGAAAGATGCTACAAAATGCCAGTTACAGAGTTCCCACGTGTGACATGAAGGACAGGGCTGCTTGTTTTCTAGTAGCCTCTTGAACAACTCTGGTATCCCCATATGTTCTGTAATCTGTGTTTTTCCTCCTTTGGTGACTTTCTTCCTGTTTCTGTTTCTGTAAAGAAAGGTTGGGCTGGCCCAACAGGTACACTAGGTAAAATTGCTCAACCAAGGCAGGGATACATCTAGTCTCACATCCTGTCTCCAACAGTAGCCAGTACCAGCCGATTCAGTGGCAATTGAAACCTTAACTGCACTCTTTAAAGTTTTATTGCGGTACTGCAGCAAGGGAAAGGAAAGGAAAGGCTCATTTTCCTTTTTGCTAACAGCTCTATCTTCTGAAGTTGGAGTAACATCCATGCTTTTCATAAAGACCTCAAACAGCTGCTTACAATATTTGCTCTTTAATCTTTGGAGCATTTCATTGATTAAAAAAAAAAAGGCAGGGTAGCAGTGTCGGAGAAGGAGGTTCCTCAGTTCAGCTCCACTTTGTGAACCAGATTAAGTTTGGGCTAGAGAAATAGCCAGTTACTTGATTTTTTTTTCCCCCCCTCCTTACATGACAGTCACTGGGGAGCCTTCCACACTGGCCTTAGTTATTTCATTTACTTTGGCTGTTCTTTCTGAAGGAGAATATCTCCAGTTGGCCTAATCCTCTATCATGAAAGCTTCTGGACTTTTTTGCTTTTGCCTTAAGGTCCCCAATCTTACTTATCTGAGGGGTGGATGACTCTGTTGATTAGACACAGCCTCCACACCTGATAGAGGATTCTGTCCTTGTCACATTAGCTTTTCTAAACTCTTCTGGGGCACCCTCTGCTTTTTTGGGAGGAGACCTGTATTCTATGCTCATATGGCCTTCACCATAGTAGCTGAGCAGCTCATAATCCATAGAGGATTTGCCCTCGCAGCTATGTTGAGGGGTAGGGCAGTGCTGTTATCCCTGCTGCATAGAAGGGGATCTGAGACACTAAGTGACCTGAACAAGGCCACACAATATGTGGAGCAGGTAACTGAACTTCTCTTCAGTTCCAGGTTAGCAGTCAAACCGCTGGATGACCCTTTTTGTTGTTGTTTCTATAAGATGTCCTGTGTTGGAAGCCAGCTAATTGTTGGGTATCTGACACGGAAATTAGTTCCCAGAGCTCTGGAGAAAGCTGCAGTACTGAGGAGTTTCCTGATTGCTGGGAGGAAGATCAAGTGTGGAGTCTCTGGAGTCCTGTTCTTTATTCTTTCCTTGAGAACCAGTCTCCTCTGCCTGCTGCTCTCCCCGGTGTAACTCGCCTCCTTACAGGTGCTTCTTCACTCCCTCTGGCTGGCAGATGGCAAGGGGAGACTCTTTGTACTGGGAGCAGAGGCTTGGGGTGGAAAAGCCAGGAGCTGGCAGTGCCTCCAGCATGTGAGGTGGAACATAAGGGATGTTCTACTGCTAGTCAGGCCCAGGTAGGGATCTGAAGAAAAGAGGTAATAAATAAAGATCCCTCATGCATGTGACTGTCACCTGTTCTCACAATACTCTTGACTGCAGCATTATTCCCTTGGCACTTAACCAGCTGAGAGTTCCTCACCATCTGCACTGGATTTTCCAGCTAGAATCCTTTCACATCACTTGCATGCTTCACAAATTGTCTAATCATGGCCAGGACCTTTTATCACAACTAGATCCCACTTGCTAAAAGGGCTACCTATTACCTCCTGTGGTTTTCTTCGAGCCATAACTGGGCTCCATGTTTGTTTTTTTCCTTTGTCATCATGTGTTAATTAAAAACCTAGTGGTCTGTTTATAAATTCAGCTGAAAAGGGCATGTACCTGTTGGTGTTACAGCTGGTGTATCAAGGGGGGACTGACATATTACAGTGTTCCCTGCCCAGGCTGCTGCTCAAGTTTGCCAGTTGTCCAGTGAAGTACATCTGCCCTCATGGCAACTTTTAATGACAGCTGGCTGGAGTTTTTTTGACAGGTGTATTTGAGGCAGTCCTGTTGCTAATTCTCAGCTTTTCCTTGTGCAGGGTTAGAAGGGAGGTAAGAACCCAGCGATTTACTAACATTTTAATTTGCGCTTAAATGAAATGTGTATGCAATATGCAAAGAATGTGTGATGTCCTAGATCTAAGTGTTTTTAGTTTTCAAACAAGTGCATCTCTTGATTGTGACCTTGGAAGAATTGCACAAAGCATTCAGGCTCTGCCGATCCACCGCAAAGACACTGGCTTTTGCTATTTTATCCAAGTGCCTTTTAGGAATCAATTGTGCTAGTGCCTTTTTAGTTTGATCTCTAGCTGATTCCAGCTGTACTTCAGGACATATGGTTTTGGCTACAGTGGACCATTTCATTTGCCTTTTAAATTCATTGTTTGTGAAGTCAACTTGTTCAATGCTGATGTGTGTATCAAGATCCTACTGTATATAATTAGTGAATAAAGTAGGCTGCATTTTACTGTGGTGGTTGTGTGTTTTGGAAATGTTCTCCAGTGTTAGACAAAACAGCTGGAGAAGGAACCAGAGCAGGAACTCCCAGGCTCCATCAACACTTGGTATGTGCCTCCAAAAGGAGTGACTGCCTAGCTTTAATTGGCATAGGGAGCAAGTTGCTGGACTAGTCAACCTGGCCATATCTCACCCCCCACCCATTTGCATGTGAATACGTTCTTTGTGGCCTATTTGTCATCATGCAGCAGAGACAGCAAGAATGTCAACTGAGGAAAAGCACAGCAACTTTTGGGGCACCTTAACCCTAATGCTGGTCATGAAAAATAGCCTCTGAAGCTGTTTGGATGCTGGTAGTGAATCCTAGAAGGAAATAGTTTGGTTCATTTAAGCTTTGTGGTGCATGGGGAATAATCAAGTTGAGAGATGCAGGCTACACACAACATCCTCTGATACCCACTTCTTAAGATGGAGGAAATCACAGGCACTACTACAGATAAGTGCCTGTGATCCTTTTCTGTAGATGGAGTCTAAGCACTAATATGCTTTAAAATATATGAATCTGAGTGCTGTATGAGGGTGTAATATAAGGCTAACAATACAGTTTGAGGTCAGAGCAAGGAGTGCCTCAGATGCCTTCCTTCCGAGCCCCCTCTCCCCCCCCCCCCCCAAAAACAAACAAACAAACAAAAAAAACCAAACCAAAAACCCAACAAAACTTCTTTGCATATATCTGGAGCTCAGACCATGACTTTGCTCCTCCTTCAACTGATCAGTTACTTAACTTTATGCCAACAGGTACCCAGACCCCAAAATTCCTTTGAGGTGGCTGTATTGAAAATCTGAGTTTGGCAGACAGATTCTATCCATGCAGGCATGCTGTAACCAAGAAGTCTGCTTGCCAGCTGGTTTTTGAATGGGGGCACAGCATGACTCCAGATGTCATGCTGTGCCCCCGAACATCTCAGCAACGTGCAAGTGTGTGAGGCTATTATATGCCAGATAGGTGTGTAACTACAGAGTAAGATGCAGACTAATAAGTATGCAGGAGAAGAAGGTACCAGGCAGCAAGGACAATTCTTTACATGCTGTTGCCTTAATCAAATGTGGTAGTGAAGAGGGAGCTGAGGAAGTCTTCCATATGTTTGCAGTTACTGTGACCATCATGTAATAAACTAAATTAAGATCTTGGAAGAGATTTTCCTCACCAGCAATCAGTGACTATATGCTCTGAACATTTCAAAGTACAAAACCAGTCATCATTTCACTCCAATAAAACATAATGGACAGGGGAAGAAGTACTTAGGACCATGTACTAATACTGTGGAGAGGCAGCTAGGGTGGGAGTCAAGACATAAGGTCTGTTCCTGACTGTTATTGATCTTCCTATATGACTATCACAAGTCATTTCACTTATCTTGGCCTCAGTTTCCTGGGCAGTAGTATGCGGCTAGGGCTGAAGCATGCTACATAAAGAATCTGCTATCAGCACCTATGCTTGCAGTTGCTATGCAGCTGTGACCATGTGTTAACTACAACTCCTACAATGCATTTCTGTGTTAATAAAAACTAGATAAAGCTGTCTCAGACTTCCAGCTCTAGAAATAAGAAAACAAAGCACTTAGCTACACACCAGTACCCCATTAATTCTGTTCTGTTTATGTAAGTGACCCAAAATACCTGCAACAGACACACTGCATTCTGTGCTATAGTTTTTCACATTTTTGTTAAAGCAGAACTCTTATTTAGATGTCATACTGAACAGGAGATACTGTATTTCGCAGTGTATAAGTTGAGTTTTGAAGCCCAATTTTTAATTCTTCAACCTTAACGTATGCACTGTATCACCATCCCCTGCGAGCAGCACTGGGCTCCACACCTGCACGCCCCTCACTGCAGGCTGAGTACATGGGGGGCAGTGCTGGGCTTGGTGCTCGACTGGCAGCGCAACTCAGAGGATGGGGATATACCAGCTGTGCGCCAAGTCCCACCCTGCCCCCTGTGAATGGTGTTGTGGCATATGTCCACACCCCCGAGTGCCCAGGGGCCAGTATAAGTCAACCCCATATTTCTGATCCAAAAAGTTAGGTTGACTTATACACCAGATCTATGAAATTTCTAAGTCAACCTAACTTTCTGGATCAGAAAAATGGGATTGACTTGTACAGTGTCAACCTATACACCGTGAAATACGGTACACTCAGCTATCCCCTCAACCAAGTTCATTTTGTTCATATACTAGACCTCATCTGTCCATATGTCACCCCTCACTCATGGATGTAGCAGTTACCCCTGACACTATAGATTTTTGTTTCAAACCTATGCATTTACTGGGTTTGGTGGCCTCCTCACCACCCTGAAATACCTCTCCAAGACTTTGGGAGTAACAGACCAACTAAAAATATAGCATGAGTCCTTAATTTACTACTTCAGTGTTCCAATTGAAACTTAACCATTAGAAGACACAGTCTGCATCAGGATTTCCTGTACCCAATTTATTCTGCTGCCCTAGTTGCACTGTGAAATACTGGTGGAGGAAGTGGGCTGGGAAAGAAATGTACAGCCTTCCACTTCTACAGCACCAGCTCACATTCCTCCAGCTCTGGTGTGATTGTAAGGCAGAGCTTTCTAGCAGCCTATGTAAACGAGGTGGGGAGGGGGCTGGTCCACTTTTAAATAGGTAAAAAGCCATCATTATAACCAGCCTTCTTAGGAGCACCATGAGAAGGAAGCTTACTCTGCCACTGCTATGCCTTACCTGTTGCAGGATAACCGAAGAATTTCAGTCACCTATACCCATATTCATGGAACTGTATTATTGACACTCCCCAGAGCTCCATTTCCTTCCACTCTATAAGCATTTGCACCTCTTGCTTGAGCACAGATCCTTCTGCCTTGATTTTTAAGAACACTAAATTCTGCAATTCCAGGAGTTCGGCCTTGGTGTAGTTTCTCATGGTGGCAGCACCTTCACTTGATCCCTATTTGTTCCCTGTCCATGAGGTCCAAAACAACATTCTCAGCAATTCCAACTCTGCTGCTCACAGTTTTGATTCATCCTTACCTGCCTCATACGCTTTTCTGATACATAAAAGAACTTCTTGTGTTTAAAAAAAAAAAATATTTATTTAAAACAAAACAGCTAGCTAGGGGAGGGTTGCTGGAGGGAGGGTAACAAGTCAGATTAAAAACATGTCCAAAACCTGTTGGAAAAAGTAATACTTTCCCCTGTAGAAGCAGGAGACTCACTGTCATGCAGAGGCCAGTCCCAGCCATTGCTAGAGCTTCCCACCAGCAACATCTCTACTCGCATTGTCTTGGGGTGATTGTCCCATCAGTGTCCAATACCGAACTGTCTGGAACTCTAGTCTCTAGAACTCAAAACTTCCAAACTGGGAGGAACGGTTGTTGGGTTTGGGCTGAGGTTTGTAACCAATTCGGTCATTTATCATTTGTTCTCTGCTCTTGTGGTCATTGCTCAGTCCAATAGCTCCTTCATCATTCGCTCCTACTACATCCACATCTTCACGCTGCTTTTTGCGGCTCTGCAAAAAAGAATGATGACGTATGAAAACCAGGGTATTGGAAACCCAAAGAGACTTCAACGTAGAGAGAGTTTGCACTGTCAAGGACAGAGCCTTTTTCAATTCTTACTGCTAACTCTAGAGGGAGCCCTGAAACTGTGCAACTAGGGAAATATTAGGCAAGCTGATTTCATTACAGACAAGCAGTTTGTTAATCCATTCCTGCCCGGGGCAGGGGGCGGACCTGATGATCTGTTTAGGTCTCTTCCAACCCTAAGTACTATGATACTATGAACTGGACAACTTCACTGGGGTTTTTTTTGGATAGCTCTACAGCAGGGGTGTTACACATACAGCACATGGGCTAGATAGTGTCCTGGGACTTCTTGCCGTGGCTGCAAGAGCTGCTGTGTCAGTGCAATCACCAGCTATTGGGGTAACATAAAGGCTGTGGGAGGCAGCCAAATTTACCAACTGCCACATTCACCATTTTCAATTGCTGCATTAAGGTCCCTGCCACTGGAGGGGGTGAGTGGCACCAGTGTTAACATCTTGCATGCTGGCAGGGAATATAGCTTACCTACTGATTTGAGTTTGACACCCTTGATCTACAATATGTTTGCCCTAAGTGTTCAAGCACAAGTCACAGCACTGGGGCACTTCACAGTCCACAGGTAAACAAAGATACAAGTATCGCTTCACAGGTTGGATACTACCACTATGTGGCAACACCCTGCATATTAAGACAAATCTTGCAATCCACTAAAATGGCAGCTTTCATCCCCATAACATGTTCAAAAGTGAACCTACTCCAGTCATGATGGCAACTGCTTCCAGAGTGGAGGAGGAAGACAAGTATATTCTGAACCAGAGCTGTCCAAACTGGGCATGGCTGGGGGTCACTTGTAGCAGCAGCAGCCCTTCCAGGATTCTCCCCCACTGATATGAGTGGTACCTGTGGCATGTGCCCCCCTCCACAGCATGGACTGTGCCAGCAGCATGCACACCCCCACCCAGGTTTTGCTGGTGGCACATGGCCTCCTCATCACCCATACCCACGGTGCATGGACCTCTTGGCCTTTCCCTGCCACATGGCAGTGGGAAAAGTGGCCAATGGAGCCCGCAGGCCATATGTTAACTATCCCCAGACTGCCAGTGGGACAGCCCTGTTCTCAATTATGGGCTAGCGCTGCAGTTCGGAATTTCAGTTACTTGAGTGTTACAATGCTACAAAGGCCTCTACAGCACTGCTGGAGCTCCATTATTCCCAACTAAGTAGTCTCTAGTCTGGGAAGCTCAACTGGGATGTGCCAGTGGGAGTGGATACAGTGGGGTGGAGTTTTAAACTTCTATAGTATTGACTAGGGCGTCTGTTGTTGCATCTTATTTTGTGGGTTGTTTATCTGCTGCTGTATACCACTCTGAGCATTTCTAGACAGAATATACATCTAAACAACAGGTTTTCAATGCATGTCATGTGCATGTCGCCACAGCTCTGCTGATTTTAGAACTAAATTGAGATTCACAATCACTCCTTACCAACCCCCCCAAAATAGACAGAACATCTCTGCATCCACCCCACTCCCTTAGGAGAAGCCTGAGCAGCCAGGCAGGTTTCGTACCGTGCCTTGTGCATGACATTATTGCTTCCAGAGGGAGCAGACTCCAATGTCTGTATTCTTATTGAGCATTCAGGGCCCCGTAGGTACGAAATTAGGTACTGTCAAGCCACGTCTCTCTGTTTCTTTCTACTGCTAAATTAAAGTAAGGGTAAAGAAGAAGGTATCTCAATGTAGCACCCAAAGTAGACAGATAAGAACATAAGAACTGCCATTTACTGAACCAGACCATAGGTCTGCCAAAGCCCACATTTCCTTTGTGTGTCCAATAGGCCTGTGTCACACTGATCTACTAGACCAGGAAGAAGGCTCGGGCTGGGGGGAAGCCAGACAAGTGTGGAGCTGTCTTCCTTTTGCTCTTCTGCTAGTGTCTCCAGGCAGAATATCACCGATCGGTATCTACAGGCTCCCTCAGCTCGTTCAGGGGGCAGTGGGCACTGGCTGGTGCACACTGCTCCAGCGTCCCCTTCTGGCTCCTTTGTTATGAACCTGCGACCTCTCTCCCTCTCCTGCTTTTATCACAGATTCATAGAAAATTACGGCTGGAAGGGACCTCAAGAGGTCATCTAGTCCAACCCCTTGCTCAAAGCAGGCCCATCCCTATCTATATTATCCCTGCCAAGGCTTTGTCTAACCAAGGATGGAGAGGCCACAACCTCTCTGGATAACCTGTTCCAGTATTTTATTACCCTCCCAGTGAGAAAGTTTTTCCTAGTACCTAACCTAAACTTCCCTTGCTGCATCTTGAGACCATTGCCCTTTGCTTTGTTATCTGCCACCACTGAGAACAGTCTAGTTCAGGAGTGGGCAATGATTTTGGCTGGAGGGCCACTTAATGACTTCTGCTGAGCTGTCAAGGGTTGCACACCTAAAATCTTTTAGAATATATAATTTTAACAAATTATAAATAAAAAACAAAATTATACTAAAAATCAAATATCTACTAAAGCATATTTTAATTTTATTTAAAAAATATTTTTTGTCTTCATTTATGTTTTTTGAGTAGCATATATAGAGGCAACTGCATAATAGCTCAAAATACAGTAGAGGTGCATCAATACATTGGTCTGATATTGGATCGGCACCAATATCAAGAAAATTGTCTATATCGGAAATCAGCCTTTTGTGGGTAATAAATGGCCCTTGTATGCGCGCAGCCATAGCACAACACGTAGGCAGTGAGGAACACAGTCCCGGGCAGTTGCAGCTGGTAAGTCTCTTGTAGTGGAAGGGGAGTGGAGACGGGGGCAGATCAAGGCCCCTGCAGTGAGGGAGGGAGGGAGAGTGGGGAATCTGCTTCCCATCCTGGGGGCAGGGTGGGGAGAAGGCGGGGGGTTATGGGAAGGGGGGAGTGGCTCCTGCCCTGCACACCGCTCATCCGGGAGCCGCTCATCCGGTGGCTCCAGCCGCTGCTCCCGTCACTTGTCCAGGAGGGCATGGGGGGGTGTGCCCCCTTATCTGTGCAGAGAAGGGTGGTCCAGGGCTGGGCCAGGCTGCATTCAGGGTGGGCAGTAGCACTGGGAGGGGGCTATGGTGGGGACTACAGCAAATTCTGGGGTGGCTGCAGCCCCTTCAGCCCCCTCCCACCGCCGCCCC